TAGCGACTAAATTTTTGATAAAAAATAATTTGTTAAATAACCATGAAAAAATCCAATCACACACCCCAATAACTTACCATGTTATACAACCCTAACCCTAATTCTTCTTTAATTCCCAAATTTATATTATAATTTTGCCTAAATTTGTACTTTAATTAATTCTGCCTACTCTAATTTTATTCATATTGATATTTATAACCGAATTCTAAACTAGTGTTCCGCAAAAATGGATCCAAAAGGATCTCGGGTATGAGGTTGGTGAGAATTAGGGATTGGAACCGCCTAATATTTTTCTTAATCGTTTGATCAATTTTTAATTGGTTAAACGATTCCAATCCCTAGCGAGAATAACGATAAATAAATTAAACAACCAAAAAATTTTTTATTAGCCAATCAATTTTAATGTATCCATTACACTTATAAAAAATTTTTTATATTAATTAAGTAATAAAAAAATTATTTATAATATCGAAGGAAAAATAATAAAACTAACAAACACGACCTAATTCTCAATTACTATAGTAATTAAAAGACCATTAAACTCTCAAGAGAATGTGTGCTTTTAGAATCAACAAACGTATAAGTATTTGTTAAAATAAAATATTTAATATAGGTTGCAGATTCATGATAAAAACCCTTTTTAATGTAATCCCCAATAAAAAAATCCATCCAGATAATACATTATATATTCTATTTTATCAGCTTCAATAATTTTACATTTTGAAACTTCACAAATCTATTTTTCGAATAACTAATAATCTTTGCATACTCCACTTTAATAGAAAATTCGCTATCATACAAATATGAGTAAAATTCGACAGGAATATCATCAATAAGTTGAAAATATACATTTCAATAGGAATTGTTAAATAAAAGGGTGCAATTATTTTATAATTTTGAATGATAGAAGTCTCTTGAATTTTAAAATCTTTGTAATATTCTGAAACCATTTTTTAAAAACTTTCTTTATGAATCAAATGCTTTTTATTACGCATAACTTAATCACGTGCAGAATTAAAATTTCCAATCCTCTGTATAAATTTTAAATTATATTCTTTTCTCATATTTTTAATTAAGCCACAGCATACAATAATAATAATTCAAAATCACTTTCATTTTAAAATAGAGATAAAAGTAGTCTGACCACTTTGAATTTTACAATACAATTTATATGTGACAAGCTGGTTTAACTAGTTAGTTCGTATAATAAATTTAACCAGTTTAACTAAAACTCAGGTTTAAGTTGTGACTATGATCTCTGTTGCTGCTTCTTCTGCCACAGTTGTAAGCTCCGTTGCTGCTTCTTCTGGTATTCCTGGTTTTGTGTCACAACTACCAAGACGAATAACGGCTGACTCAACAAGTAACCTACTAGAACAAATGCTGGTGAAATTAATTTCACCAATTTCACCAATTTCACTATATTTAAATATTAAAAACAATTGAAATTTAAAAGTTATTCGTTTTAGTAATTTAAAGTAAAGTTTAGGTTCAAAGATTTAAAAGATGCATTTATTTCATTTTGATTTATAATCAATATGAGATTTTAGGTATAATTTTTAACACATCACGTAATAAAATATCCTTGTGATTAAGATTAAATAAAAATATCAAAGAATAAATTTTGCTTTATTAATAAACTCCTTTTATTTTCTTTGTACTGTAATTGGAAATAAGTTTTATCTATGTTTTTTAAGAACTTGTTTTTTAAGAACTTGTATTTTTTCAAAGTATGTACCGCTATCATATAACTGTCCAGCGTTGTTGATTCATATGACCTTATCTCTGCCTTAATGTAGGCAGAGATAAGGTCACGTGATAAGTATTTGATAATGCCGGCCCAACAATCTCACCAAAAACTTCGACAGTGGATGCTTTTGCAAATATATGACGAATATATGCTGTAAAATTTTCTCCTTTAAGACATAGTATTTAATATTGCATTTAAGAAGAAAATCCTTTAAAGAATTACTATTCTCCACTTTATTTTGTCAATCAAAAAATTTGGTTCTTTTTTTTTTTAACCTTTCAAATAAACAGAGTTACCGATATTTGTAGCAATAAAAAAAAAAAGGTTAGTATAGTTTTAGAAGCATTTGCTTTTCAACTTTATCGGGAATTAAGCAGGGCAATCTAAAAAAAAAAAATTACAATTATTATTATTATTATTATGCAAATAAAATCTTTCTTTTTAGATATAATATGTATCTAGAATTTCTAAACTTTTGAATGAGACAAATTTCTCTCAACTTTTCAACGTTATCTGGTTGGAAGGGCGCAACCCCCTATATCAAAAAATTTAGGACAATATTTGGGTGTTTCCAACATAACACTAATAATAATAATAATTATTATTATTATTATATGATTATAAAATTTACAAAAAAAAAAAAAGATATCTTTTAGATATACGTACCGGGAATTTTTAAACTTTTGGATATACGCGTTTTTGCTCTGGATATTGGTGTACAATAATTTACAAATCTTGTCAGAGTTGGAATTCGGCCTTAAAACGGGCATTATTAGTTACAAGTTACATTATAATTGTATAAAAACTTGGTAAAATAATATACCACACCATTTTTTTTCAACGCGAGCTTCAGCAAAAGAAAGTATAGCACTTTCAAAACAATTTATGAAATATTAGAATAGGAAAAAAGGAATAAAATAACACATACTGTATGAAGAAAAATTTTATCTGGTATTTATAAAGTTAATAAAAGCATATCCGACATTATACTTGTTAGCAAAATCGATACGCAAGTAGACAAAATCATATTGACCATGATGAGTTTTGTCGATCCAATCCAATAACATTCGCTAAATTTTACTTAAGTAAGATAGTGATTGTCGTAATTGCCGTAACTATAGTAATTAATATAAAGTTGGCTATAATGCCTTAACTTACTATATTATTTACTTTAGTTAAGGCCAGATACAAAAATTTACGATAATCATTGGACGGCATCACTAATCCATGATATTAGAATAATCATTTTACCTGAGTATATTTTTCGGAATATTCCTGATCATTAATGTGGTACGCTTTTCAAGGCCTATTATGAAATATTAAAAATTAAGACATAAAATTAAAAAAAATAAAATTAATGGAATAAAATTTAAAACTATTTTTGATTCCTTCAAGATCGAGAGTATTTTTCTTTGTGATAATTCTGTTACCAGATGAATTCACAGTACAATATTTGTGCGGGGATGAAAAGAATCTTGAAATAATTTCTTGATTCATTTTGGTTGACGTATAAAGGATTACAGATGCATTTTATACTTAGCATTCGCTATTTATCATTATTGATAAGAAACTTGTTTTTAACAAGTCCAATAAAATGGAAAAATTTTTAAATAAATAAATAGATATGTAAGAATTAAAACTCGTTTTACTAACAAGATTTGTTTCTAGTTATCTAGTACAATTTATAATTTATGTTGAAATTGTCACCCAGCCGACTGTTTCCTTGGTCAGGTGGTTCAGAATTAAGATATTTTTAAGTTATTTTGTGATATTTTAACAAGATAATTACTGCACTTCGAGTTCAAGATAAATTTTAGAAACTATTTGAGATCTTTATTTAAAACAACTTAATCAAAAAAAAAAAAAACTAAAAAAAATTCAGATGCCTGACATTATTTAATCAATAAACATCACTATTTTTGTAAAATATTATTTGGTAGTAGTGTAAAATTTAAAAAAGCTATTGGCGGTACTCATAATTGTAACTAATTGCCCCACCAACCTTAAATTCAAGAAAAAGGTTCTGTTATCAGCAAAAACAGCAGATAAAATTGTGATGTTATTGTTGAAAAAAATCAATCCTAAAAATAGAACTACACAAACAATGATAAAAGTAAAAATAATGTATTTGAATTTCTTTGAGGCTTGAGCATTATTATTGTTGATGATAACTGTTGCGTTATTCACTTCTTCATTTTGTTCATTTTATGTAATACAATTTTCATATAGTTTATCGCCAATACTTTAAAAACATTGATTCTTTAAAAAACTACAAAAAAACAGTTACAATTTTTAAACTCTCGTAAGAGCTCAACAGTTACATTTGAGGCATTTGAGGTTTGAGATGTGAATGATGGTTGTCTTTGGAGGTTATTATTAATTTGAATTTTGGCTTGCACAGAAGTCAATGGGGGTTGAATTGAGTAAGTTCTAGCTTGTTGATTCTCAGCTGTATAATTTAAATTATTAACTTTGTTGATCTCATTAATTTGAGAAAGTTGATTAGATCCGTTAATCCAAGGGTGCTAAGGAAATTGGTCAGATCTGATAACACGAGGATGTAGAGGAAATTGTTTGGGTCCGCTGATACGAGGTTGCAGAGGAAATTGATCGGGTCCGCTGATATGAGGATGCAGAGGAAATTGATCAGGTCCGCTAATACAAGGATGCTGAGGAGGGTGCTGAGTATGATTGGATCTGTTAATACGAGGGTGATGATGTGGTCCATTAAAAATAAGTAGTCTATTTATAATTTGAGGATGTTGAACAGGTTCAGTGTAATAATGTTGTTGAAGTTGGTTAGGAATATCAAATTCATTGATTCGAGGTTCTGTCACATGTTCAGAGGTTAACACAAACTCCCTTCTTGCAAAACTTGCGTACAAACAATAGCCATTGCATTCAGGACAATTTTTAGGGTAATTTATTGGCATATTTATTTTTTTGAACTATCTTATGGTTGTAGGATTTGGGGCTCTTATATAAAATTTTAACAGATAATTTCTATATTTGAGCTAACATGGCTTGTAAGATAAACTTTTTAGGCTTCAGAACCGCGTGTCTTACTAGAAAAGAATCAATATTTTAAAGTAATAAAATTGCTATAATAGGTCAGTCAATAGACTTGCTGATTTTTGACAGAATCATGTGAAATTTTATTTCTTTTAATTATTGCACTAAGTGCACAAGCTTCAAAAAAAGGGTATAAACTACATGAGGCAGTCAATAGTAGTTTGACTGAATCTCATGTAAGATAAACTTTTCAGGCTTCACAAATACGTGTTTCTGTAAAAATATCACCATTAGCATGACTAAGAGATTATCTCTTTTAAATTAGACAATATCAATATAATCTATTTTTGTTTCAGAATCAAGTGAAATTTTTAGAAAACCTTTACTGTAAGAACCAGTCAATAAACTTTTTAATTTTGATAGTACTGTGTGAAATTTTACTTCGTTAAGGTACAAAAAGTGTAATTAACACATGAATTGCGAAAGAGGTCAGTTAACAAACTTGACATAAATGAATTTATATACATCATGTGGTTTTTTTAAGATCTATATTGACCTAAAATTCTATTTTCTCTAAAAAAGATCGAAAATTCGAACTGTCTATAGCAATTGACTAAGAGATAATCTCTTTCGAATAAAGATCTGATCCGTAAACTAGAGGTGCGATCCGTTCAAAATATTTATGATTGCACCTCTTTAGTTAATATAAATAATCAGATCTTACTACTTTTGAATTATAAAATATCAATATCAAATAAATTATTGTATAATATGAACTGGTTTTTATTATAATTCTACAGTAAAGTTCAATTGTTATAGAAATTGCATTGATTTTCTTTATTGATATTTATAAAACCGGTTTTTGAATAATTTTGATTTCAAGAATGAAACCGGCACATATAAGCATATGATTCAATTGTTGAGTCAACTTATTATGAAACATATAAAAAAGTATTGACTTTACTTATATCAGATATCAAGATAAATAATATTTGTAGTATATTCTAAAAATTTTAATTTATTTGAAATTTTACTTTAAAATTATGGGTAATATGTAACCCATGGATTTATAATAAATATAAAACAGCATAGTATAATAAATTAAGTATAATTCCGGGCAAAATTATTTCATAACTCCAGGAAAAATCTAAATTTATTCTATGCAAAATCAAATTTTAATTTCAAGCAAAATTAGGTATAATTCCGGGCAACATTAAGCATAACTTCAGGCAGAATTAAAATATAATTTCAAACAAAATTAAATATAATTCCGGGATAGCTCCAGGCAAAATCAAATTATAAATTCAAGCATAATCCTGGGCTAAATTATGCATAACTTCTGGCAAAATCAATTCTGGACAAAACTATAACTCCAGGAAAAATCAAAATATAATTCTAGGCAAAATTAAGCCTGAAAAGTTTATCATACTTTATCATACGTTAAAACTTTTGACAAACATTCACAAATCAAGGAGAGGAATTCAATAAAAATACCATTATTAAGTTTAATTATAATTAAGAAATCAAGGCATAATGCAATTTAAAGAACCATAATACATGATAATTAAGAAAATGCGTATTAAAAAAAAAGAAACCCCTGAAATTAACTTAAAGAATGGTTTTATTTTCTTGATTAGACAACCCCAAAATAAAGTTGTTCGTTCTTAGGGTCGATACTTCTGCTAAAAGTAGCAAATATTCACGTTCGAGGATTATTTCCAATTGCTCAAGGTTTTTAAGTTCGTTGACGAGTCTTTTTCGTTTAGTTCTGACGCCAAATCGATTGCTGAAATTTTTATTTTTGTCTTGGTTCATTTCGCAAAAAATTTTGCGGCTAAATTAAATTATTTTTTTTTTTTTATCTTTTTTTTAAAAAAAGCAGAGCGAACAGTTGAGAAAAATACTTAAATTTATAGCCTACGAATATAATAATCATGTCAAAAGACATCTTAAGATGTGTAACAAGATCAACTATGAATGTAAATTAATATTAGTGTAATGATAATCTCGTAATTTAGTATGTTATACATTTTTTAAAAATTGTAGCTCCTCGTATTTTCTATGTCCTAACCTGCTTCTAATACAATATTAATGATAATGTATACTTATTTGTAAAATAACACATTACTTTGCTATGAATTTAATATGTTAACTTCTGGGTCTGAAGAGGACAGAAATGATAAATTAGATTCGCAGCATATAATAATAATGTTACCCGGTTACGATAAAAGTAATTATATAAGTGTTAATTTTTGCAGGTATTATCATAGTATACTTCCAGATAAGCCTTATTTCTTTAACGTTAAATTAAATATTTGTTTATATACATACAAAATTACTTAACTTTTCTTAATAAATGAAAGTTATAAGTTTCAAATGTGTTATATCATCACTTGATTTTTTTAAAATCAAATATTAAAAGAAAATGTCGCAACTGATGCTGAAATTTGTAGTCGTGATTTGAAAATATAAGCACTGCTAAAATCCACATATACTCTTTAATTATCAATTCTAACACTAAACACTAACTCAACCATAAAAAAAGTGGTGAAAAAAATATCCCCAAAATTTTTTAAAATTTCACCAAAATAGATCCAAATTTTAGCTGCGACAAAAATACTCATGTAAGAGAAATTTTTAAATTTAAAAGTTTATTTAAAATTTAAGACAGGCTTATATAAATCTTAATTTTATTAATTCAGGAGCAAACTTAACATGTATTTAAAATATGTTTAAAGAGTAATGGTTTAATCCGATGAACTTTAAAAAATTATATACTGTATATAGACCTATATTGTTTTCTTGTGACTTTAATTAAAAAAGATTTATTAAATTCATAAAAAATTGTTATCATAAGTTTGATAAAAAATGCATAGGGGGAGAAATTGTGGAATAATGTCCCTTAAAGTATAAAATAAAAGTATTGTAATAATTTAGACAAGACATTAGATAACTGATAACTGATAATCTTTAAATATGTTTACTATTCGATTTGCTAAACAATTTTGCATTATCTCTATAATCATAAAATCATAAACTAGACACTGACGAGTGATAAGTTTTCCAACTACTTTAAGCTTAAAATCCATAGGAAAATTTTAATATTAAGCTTAGGCATGTATATCTATATATAGTTCATCATAAAAGCATTGTTCTAAAATTTCAAGAATAGCATTTGTTTCTGGTCGATTTGTTGGTGTTTCATTCCAACAATTCAAATAAAGTTCAATATATTCTAGAGGCATATTTTTTATAGGTATTTCTCTCCCACCTTGCAGTACATGAAGAATTATTCCTGGATTTGGAATGTCTTTAAATGGTATATGTCCACTTGAAATCTCTCAAAGAATGACACCTAAACTGTAAATATTAGATTTTTCAGTAAAGTTAAAACTGTTTGGGAAACTCTTTAGAGCCTGAGGATCAATGAATGCTGGGATTTCGTAAACATCGCATATAATTGAATCCGAATTTGTGGAAAGATCAAAATCAGCGATCATCATTTTTCCCTTGTGGACCAAAACATTTTTTGTATGCTGTATAATTATCATTATATAGATTATTTAAGTTTATTCAGAATCAACATAAGTATTTGTAGCGATAATATATACTGTAATTACCAGGTCTCTATAAATAATATTATTACGATGTAAGAATGCAAGGCCTAATACGATTTCCTTTCCAATACGTAATTTATCGGTTCGTTGTAGGTTTAAAATATTATTCTCCAAGTATTGCCGTAAATTTTATCTTTAGCAAATTGCATAACAATAATACAGTCTCCGTTGGACGGATCTAGTTTAATTTAAATTATTAGAAAATGGAGTCTTAATACAAAAGAATTAGGAAACGGAGTCTTAATACAAAAGAATCTCTAATCGCTTACTATTTGTTACGGCTTAAAATTTAATAATATGTGGATGAGTGCTAACTTTTTGTAAAACTTTAGACTACGCATATGAATAAAAAATAAATAAATAAACCAAATTTGGTTAAATTAAAAATCAATAATAATACGTGTTTAAAATATCATTGATCACACTTCTTGGATAATCTTAGAA